ACGTAAAATAATTTCTACGTACGTACGTACGTAATATTATTGTAATTCATAAAAAGAATGAAATGAATGAAAAAAAACCATCTAATTGAAGAAATTTTGTGTTTCTTAAAAAATGATGTGTTACTTTTCTATTGCACCGGTTCAAAAATTCCGTTATATACTAACGTTAGCACTTTGTCAAACAAACAAATAAATAAATCACGAGCTGTCGCAGATCGATAAAATCGGTTATATTATGTCTTTCATAACTAAATGTAGAAACTTTTTTTCTGTAAGTAATATAAACATGTATATGCGTACATCCTGAATTTTGGTTCACACTACCTTTTACTTTTTTTAAAAAAAAAAAAAAGTTTGTTTTTTTTACAATTAACATATCTCACTAAATAATGAGTTCACAAAAACAACAAAAACATCATGAAGAAACTCATCTACGAGGAGAGTACGGAAAGATTATTGGGCCAACTACAGTGGCCGGTCAAACACTCTCCGCTGTCCAAACTGTAGGAGATGCAATTACTCCATTCGTCCCCTTTTTCAGCATGGTTACCAACATACTTGAATCGATGTTATCAATCTATGAAAATGCAAAATGTAATGAAAAAATATGTCTGGCTTTATTAGATCGTGTTGAAATTGCACAAACGGCGGTTAAATCATTGCAACGAAAATATCAAGCAAATGAAAAAAATTTTAGGGATCAAAATTATTATTATGCTTGGGTTAGATTTATTAATGTTCTAGATAATATTAAGAAATTTTCTAAAGAAGTTACGCAGCTAACATTTTTTCAAAAGTTTATAAATGCTAATGCTGTTAAAGATGCTTTTGAAAAAAATATTAAAGAATTTGAAGAAGTTTGTAATGATTTAAATTTTACTATGGCCATGTATAATGCTGAGCAAAGAGAAATGGAGGCAAAAAATGTGGCAGAAGACCTTGAAATGTTGAAAAGGGTATTGTATGGTTGTGATTTTAAATCATTTTATTTTTAAATTTACACTATGTGTTAACTTCAATTCACTATAGTCAATGAATGAAATGAAGGATGAAATGGCTGAAATAAGGTTAGCAATAACGGAAGTTACTACATTGATGTCAAATGCCAATCAATTAGGTTCACAAATCAAGAGTGGTGATCCCGTGGTAGATAAAACAGGTCCCCTGATCGAAGAATACAAAGCTCCTAAAGTAGTTTCAAG